CGAAGTCTTTGCAGGGCTCAGCAGCTTGCAGTCGCTCGACCTGGGGTCCAACCATCTCAGTGAGTTGCCTCCCGAAGTCTTTGCAGGGCTCTTTGCAAACCTCAGCAGCTTGCAGTCGCTCTACCTGTGGTCCAACAGTCTCAGTGAGTTGCCTCCCGAAGTCTTTGCAGGGCTCAGCAGCTTGCAGTCGCTCGACCTGTCGTCCAACAGTCTCAGTGAGTTGCCTCCCGAAGTCTTTGCAGGGCTCAGCAGCTTGCAGTCGCTCTACCTGTCGTCCAACCGTCTCAGTGAGTTGCCTCCCGAAGTCTTTGCAGGGCTCAGCAGCTTGCAGTCGCTCTACCTGAGCAACAACCGTCTCAGTGAGCTGCCTCCCGAGGTCTTTGCAGGGCTCAGCAGCTTGCAGTCGCTCGATCTGAGGAAGAACAGTCTCAGTGAGTTGCCTCCCGAAGTCTTTGCAGGGCTCAGCAGCTTGCATTCGCTCGACCTGGGGAAGAACCGTCTCACCAAGGTTCCTGGAGTTTGTGATCTCGACGGTGTCAGGTGTCAGTTTGTGATCCCACTATGGTTATAATGATTAGTTGCTGCTGATAGATAGCCTTTTGAGATGACCTCCCGAAACCTTAGATATGGGAGCGCAAAAAATTGGCAGCAGAACTGGCACGTGTGCTGTGTTATCGTTGTGTTTTGGCGTTCAAGTTTTGCACCCAGAAGCCCTTGACCTGCTTGAGTTCGCAAGACTCATGGGATGTCAGAATCACCCAACATAACAGAGTGCAAAGACTTCTCCATAATCGAACTGCTTTCCAGATGGGTAGACTACTGGCAATGGTTAATGTAGATCCCCTTCTCAAATGTGCCCAGTGCTGCAGGTACCCCTAGCAAAACTCAGCAAGTTAGAGAAACTTGTAGTGCTTCTGTGTGATCTCCGCCGCCAATACTCATGTTCACTCCTAGTGTCCTTGTTTTTTGTGCGGCTTCAGACCGCTTTCTAGCATATGATGCGTTGGTGCGCATCCATGTTCGTGCGATCAAACCAGTTTTGATCATGTTAATGTTCCCGACATGTACGTGATTTGATGCCCCGTGCTCGGGTGTCAGATCCTACCCCTCCCAAGGAAAGAAGACTAGCAGAGGCGACCGCATGTTTGCCTTGTGAGAATGAGGTGAGGGATGACGATGTTCTGCTGAGCTATACTGGTGATGAGGCAGACACGCGTGTCTTCTGTTCGCCATTCTAAAAAAGGGAGATGTCGAACTCGTCCTTCATACTTTTCGTTCTTCAGGGCGAGCTTGAGAGGATCCACGGATTCTAAAGGTCGAACAGAGACGAAAAGAGACGGTCTAAAGACGAAACACGTTCTGCCGGTGCCATGTACAGAATGCCAAACCCAAACCGAAGAAAGAAGGCTCTCTGATGTTTCCCCATTTTGCTGCAAGTAGGTCTAGCGTCCGAAGTGTGTACCTTGCCAGGACTTTTTGCCGAATGTTATTCTAAATAGCATTCCTGTAAAGACATCCTGCATGTTCACTGAGCCTCCTTTGCTCAGCCAACTTTGGAGAACATCAAGATGCCCAGGGGCAAGGCTGGAGAGGGGAGAAACGGAGAGACTGGTGCAAGCGGTCAAAACAGAGTCATCGTTGTCAATAGTGGTGTCTTAGCCTGTTTATCTGCAAATTGGGGACATCGTGAGAACGAACACCCAGAAAACGACTTTTGATCATGTTAAGTTTGTCTTAAGGACTGCTAGGTTGGAGGCCATCGTTTCTAATTCTGGTCCTTTCTCTTTTTCAATCAAAGGGTCGGACAGAAGGCTCCAAAGACGAACTCACGCGCTGTGGACAACAACTCACGCGCCAACAGCGCTGTGGGCACCTGTTGGAGTGTTGATTTTCGTTGCACGGTTGACGCCCAAGTGTTCATAGCTGTCACACCTGGCAACCAAGGTCTTACGGTAACCTGCTGTGGTGCTATTAAGCTCTGCTGCAACCTCAGTGACGGTCGCAAGTGAGAAATGTTCGGGGTGCTTCTGATTTCCGAAACCAGATGCGAATGCTTTAAGATCCACGTTCTCTACTAGGAGCAAGAAGCTTTTTAGTAGGTCTTTGAAGCTTCTTAGTAGCAGAAGAGCTACTAGTAGCGACCGAAGCTTCCTTGGGAAGCGTTTCACCTGTAGCAAGAAGCTACTAGGTGGCGGCCATCGCTATTAGTAACAATAGCTCGAACGTGCTTCTGAAGGTTTGGACTACTTCTGCGACGAAAAGCAGGCGAACGGGATCGGCTGGGCCGGACCAGTTGGAACGCCTGTTGTTTTGGAATGCTTCTGGTTTTCCAGTAGCTTCAAAGACCTACTAGTAGCTCCTTGCTCCTAGTAGTAAGGCCAGGAGCCCCTAGTAGCATTCTTGTTACTAGTAATAAAAACGCTACTACTAGTAGCAATGCCCTTTTTTACTACTAGCGATGCTCTTGCTCCTAGTAGCTTCTTGTTCCTAGTTCCCTTTGCTACTAGTAGCTTCTTGCTACAGGTGAAACGATTTCCAAGGAAGCTTGTAGCTCCTAGAAAGCTTCTTGTTACTAGTAAGGCCAGGAGCTACGTTCGTAGCGTCCTTGCTCCTAGTAGCGATGCTCTTTGTTCCTTACAGAAGGTGGAAGGCAGATGTTCATTTAGACAATTTTATTTTTTGGATCATTGTTTCGTTACGATGTTGTAGGTTCAGTGTACACACTCTTTGAAGGGCCTTCATTGTACGAGGTTTGCTGAAATATGTTGTGGGCTTGATAAATACTTGGCAGCCTTGCCAGAATCATCCAACACAGGTGAATGCTAGGTGGCTAGGGAGTGTATCCTGTGGGTCGATTTTGAGGTAGAAGATGACCACAAATTATTCAAAATTATTCAAGATCAACATTATTCAAATTGTAATTTTGGATTGCTAGGCCTGCTAGGCTGGCCTTTGGGCTTTGTTGAGCTTTGTTGGGCTTTGTGTCATTTTAGGTTTGTGGCCATAGCATCCTTGTGACGTAGGTGGCATTTGTGCAAGGTATGCACTCCACACCTAAGGCCTTGCCTTGTGAGTTTTGCAGGTTTTGGACCTTGGTTGTGTTTTTTTCTGGGCCGGGACACCAGGTGGAAGCTGCTGCAGCGCGCTGGTCGAAAGCTTCCACCAAGTCCTCTGGGAAGGCGATGGGTGGATTTCAAGCGAAAAGGCGGATGTCAAGTGGCGACACGCCGATGTGGAGTTTTCTCCATCGAGGTCGCGTCCGGAAACGTTGATTTCAAGCGATTTTGACCTAAGAGCGATGGCCTGCTACCTACCGGCGGCCGCCAATGTTTGCCGTTTTGAAGTGGATAGAACGCGTCGCAAAGTTGATCGGAGAAAAGCGTCGCAAGAGATGCTACTAACAAGAACGTTACTAGGGGGCTCCTGGCCTTACTACTAGGAGCAAAGTTCGCCATTAGAAACAAAGGGCATCGTTAGAAACAAGAATTAGAATGCACAAGCGTCGTTTTTTCCCGTCCAGGCGAAGACACTCTCTGGCCTCGTTGAGAAGGACGTTTGTGCCTGTTTTTTGGGCCTCGAGATGCTTCAAGTATCCTATGAGGTTGCTTTAGGTTGGATTCCTACAGTATTGCATTTTTTCCATGTAAAAAAAGGGTAAACACGTGAGCAGGCAAGTTCTTCGAAGTGGCCAATCCTATGACTGATCGGTCTTGTTTCAAGGTCTTGTTGGAGGCGGGTTATGTTCCCGGATTTTTCGAGAGTGTCAGGATGTCTTTGAGAAGCAGGCAACGGATCTCTCCAAGCAGAT